AAGCACCTAGCCAATTAGCTTGGGGCTAAACCCCTCGCTAAAGGAAAAATTTGATTGGTCATTGGCTAGGGGCTTTACCCCTAGCTAAATACCATCCCGCTTTTGGCGCAGGCGCCCAGTAAACGCAGGGAGTGTGCAGGAAGGAAGCGTGCAGAATGGTGCATAGTACATGTGATATTAGCTAGGGGGTTTACCCCAAGTTAAAAACCATAATTTATTATTTAAATTATAAACGTAATTATTTAATTTATTTATTATTATTATATATATAATCAATGAATTTCATAATTATAATTTAATAAAATAAAAAATTCAATATTAATAATATTAGTAATATATTTTTAAATATAATACATAATATAATTTATAATTAATATTATATTAATAAAATACTGAATCAAAATTAAAATATTACAAGAACATTGTTTATAATTAAAACTAATAAGTGTTATTGATAAAAATTAATTTTCTTCATCGGTGTTATTGTCTTCATTGTCATTTTGCCCTTGATTATCACTCCCGCCAAATTGTTGCATAAACTGTTGAAAAGTATGCATAGATTCCTCATATTCTCTAGTTTTTCTTCTCATTTCTTCCACCATTTCTCTTTGTCTCTTCTTCAATTCTTCTATTTCAGCATTTCTCGCTTCCACTTCACGAGCAACGTCAGAGTGCGCTAATGATCTCACAGTTTCCATCATGTCTTGGGTAACTGAAGATTGAATCGATGATCCTTCACCATCAGCAATTTGCATTCTGAAACTCCTATCACGCTGCTGGATTGTTTTGGCGAGACCTCTAACACCACACACTCTCCCATTTTTTCTCTTCCCACGAGATACATCATACCAAATCTGAAAACTCAGACTAGGATCAGTGGGAAATCCCGACGGAGGTGGTGTATATTCAGGATGTTGTGATAATCTTAGGGCAAGTTATTTTTCATGCTCCTCTTATTAAAAAGAGTAGGTGTTATTGCAATTTAAATTATGCTAGACACAAAAGAAATAAATAAAATAACTAAGTTTAAGGAAAACTTACTTGAATTTTTCTTGAGCGCTAATCAACAAACTCTCCAATTTATAAACTAAATATACTGTTTTTTATATAAATTAAATATATTATGTTTTATTTAAACTAGATACTTATTAAATATACTAAGTATTTAAGTTAGATATAAATTAAATATATACTGTTTTTTCTATAAACTAAATATCCTATTATTTAATATTTAGATTAATTAAATATTTATTATATTTTATATAAACTAAATATACTTTTTTTAATATAAACTAAATATATAATATTTTTCAAAATAACTATGTATATACTATTTATAATCTAAATAAACTATTTTTTATATAAAATAAATATTTTATATAAACTGTTTCTATGATATATAATATATAATATATAATATATAAACTATTTTATATAATTAAATATATAAACTATTTTAATATAATAAAATATATAATATATAATATATTTTGGAATAAAAAAATTAATATATATAAATTGTTTTAATAATCTATTTAATATAATAAAATATATAATATATAATATATTTTCGGAATAAAAAAAAATAATATATAAAATGTTTTAATATACTATTTAATATAAAAAATATATTTTATATAATATATTTTCGGAATAAAAAATATATAATATATAAACTGTTTTAATATACTTTGGGAATAAAAATATAAAATATATATTGTATTTTCGAATAACAATTAACTTAATCTAATACATATCTAAACCAATTTAATTTACCTAAATATAACATATAATTCAGAAAAAATTTCAATAAAGAAATAAAATAAATTACATATCTTGAAGCTTTATTAAACAAAGCTAGTGTTGATGGAGAAAAATATAATAATACCTACGAATTTAATTCAACAAAAATTAGAATTTATAAATTAATATAACAACATATATCTTAAATAATATATAGAAATAATTTTATTACCTTTGAAATAAAAAATTAAAGCTTCCAATAGAGTAAAATGTAGGATTAATGGAGGGAAAAAATGAAGGAAAAGAGGAGGATGGGAGTTGCAGAGAAGAAAGAAGAAGAAATTGGGAGAGTGCATGAAAGAAATGGAAGATAAAGAGCGCAAATGGTACAAAACTTTGCTTGGGGTTAGCCCCTCGCTAAGTGTCAAACGGTATCATAATTAGCTTGAGTTTAGCTTAAATTTTGTTCTAAGTGTAGGAGCTTAGCAACCAAAAACCATATTCAACAGAGGAAACTGATGACATCCGATCGCGTTGGGCCAGTGTCTTCATATCTCTTTATGTTGGTTGCTAACAATGTTATTTTGTATATGAACAAATGTTTTCTTATTTTGTCTTGATGATAACAATATTATTTTGTATATGAACAAAGGTTTGAAATGATATATGATATTATTCCCATTCTGTTACATATTTTGTAGTTTTTGTGTAAAATAATACTGGCAGACTAATTGATTTATTATAATGATATGATACAGATCAGTGGAAATGATACGGGGAAAAAATTATACAGGGGACCAATGAAATTGATAAGTTATAGCCAAAAAGCTAAATAATAAACCCCTCGGTTATTCTCTAAAACTGAGGTGAAATGAATACCATTTTACTTCGGATTATAAATAAAATCGATAGTAATATGAAGTAGCACACAATAAAATGAAAAAAAATGCAGTTCCTAGGGGTCGAACCCATGGCCTTTTCAATAATAACTTCAGTGTTAAAAACACGTAGGTGTTAAGTGCAAACTTCTCATGACGACCTTAGTAACCTCAACTGGGTTGCTGAGGTAAAACGCATTTCGCGTTCGACGTTGCAAGCGTTATTTGTAGTAGTGATAATAGCATTTTTTCACAAAGTGGTATCAAAATCACATTGTATGTATCCTATAATAGCGTCCGACCATAAAGTGCTATTATAGATGTGTTTTTTCCTTTTTAATAGCACTTTCTTTGAAAGTGCTATTAAATTAGGCGATAAAAAATATCAATTTTAGCATAGTGCTCGATGAATTGGTGAATGTACCAACTGGTCCTTTCTACGAGCGACTTCGACCGCTCCTTGTAGTAAACTGGGATCCATAAAGCTCCAAACATTGTGAGCTTTTATATTCGTTGTCATCAAAATATTCCAGTAACTAATATCTTACTTTGTAGTAAATTTTGGCCCGAACAAGACAACATTGTAATTGTTTTCCTTATCTCTCTCACAGAAAAAAAATACTCACAATAATTTTTGACATAATGAGAATTTCTTTATTCATCACACACTCAAAAATAATTTTGACACTCACCCTAGCAGAACCTAACCTGCTCTCATATAAATTTGATATCAAATAGGACAAGATGAAATAAAATTAATAGGACGGAGAAAGTATTACATTCTTATTACTCTTACATTTCTTAATTTTTGATAAATACTACATGTACAAAAGCATGTATTTTATAGCCTTTTTATGTTGGGGACAACTTCTCTACCTATCACAAAAAGTTAAGTAGTGTATAATCCACCAATCAGATTGTAACATTTTTGTGGTTTTCAATACATTTTACTCTACACTATGCCAGAAATAACCTACGAAAGCGCTTTTTTTGGGCTTTAAAAGCGCTCTCGTAGGTGGCGCTGCTAAAGGTTTTAGCAGCGCTTTTTGTTCAGAAAAAAGCGCTCTCGTAGGCCTACCTATGAAAGCGCTTTTTGGTAAAAAGCGCTTTCATAGGTAGGCCTACGAGAGCGCTTTTTTCTGAAAAAGCGCTTTCATAGGTGTATTCAGAATGCGTATCAGGCAATCTAAAGTAGGACTATAAGAGCGCTTTTTGTTCAGAAAAAAGCGCTCTCGTAGGCCTACCTATGAAAGCGCTTTTAATCAAAAAGCGCTTTCATAGGTAGGCCTACGAGAGCGCTTTTTTTCTTAAAAGCGCTTTCATAGGTTTTCTACTGAAAAATCTAAAATTTAAAAAATTTCTAAACCTGCATTTTTTTGCAGCAAACCTGTAATTCTTAAACCGGTATTTTACAATCTAATCTATAAATACCAATATATATATTAGTTTTAATTCAAATACCAAATGTAATTCAAATACCAAATATTATATATATATATATATATATATATACAAATACCATTATAATCAATTCATATCCAAAATATATATACACCATGGTAATTCAATATTAACATGTTTTTAAACGTAACAAAATACACCCTAAGAAATCAGCTATATAACACTAAGTAAATCAATCATAATCTACATATATATCCAAGGTCCTGATCCTGCAATATGAACATAATAACACGGTCAGTGTTGTATACACAAAACAATATATTCATAATTAACCAATTTTCACACAACAATGTATTTGTACCTTATTATAAGATTCTTAGCTCAATAAAATATTGGCACAACTCCTCTTTGAGTTCTTCCAATTGACGTGGCGAGTAATATGGACAATTGTATTGATCAAAATACTACATTACAAAACAAAATATATGCATGATTTAGTTTAATGTAATAAATTATATGCAAAATCTGATAAGTAATAAAACAAAGTATAAATCCATACTGTGATTGGAATCTCGATTTCATTCATTTGAATGATTTCTTTGATAAACTTCAAAACGAAGTATCCGCAATCTATGCCGTTTTGTTGTTGAGGGCACTACATAGAAAAACAAATAAGATTATACACATCTATTGATTTATCAAGTAGCATAAATATTATAAGCAAAATTGTTGAAATTTATATACCTGTACTTTGATCCAATTAATGTTGTTTGATTTAGACCGTGGTACTCGTGCTTCCCTTTGAGAAACATGTTTACTGTATGGGCAGACACAATCACTAATGCCACAAAAATTAGAAAAACCTAAAAATTAAAAAATCCTAAACCATACCTAACTGACAAGAAATAAAATAGGAAATTAATCTAACTGTAAACACAAAAACTAACTAGATTACACCTTAACAATATGAACTAATCTTCATAATCTCTTCTTCACACTCAGAAAATCAAGTAATGGTTTATCTGAAACTGGTATCAACTTCACAACAAAACCAATTGGCCAAGAAGCAGAAGCAAGACCAATACAAATAATCCATTCTCTCCAATTCAATCTCTCTGTATCAGCAAATTTCTTCAAAAACTCAACCATCACTACTTGAAGCACCAATGTCACACCAACTATTCCCACAAACAATTTGCTTCTAAATATCCCTTCAAAAAACATTCTTCTTCTCCAACTTCCTTGCATTGAACTCATTAAACACTTGACAAAGAACAAATGTATTAAAAATCAATGTGTCATTTACCTTTGATGTCACACCAAAAATATTTTCCCCTTTAAATTGTAGAGTCAACAAAATTACTATTTGGTAGATAGCTCGTGACAGAAGATTCCTCCACATAATGTTAGTGATAAGAGGTTTTGTTCTACCCACAGGTTTTTGATCCATCAATTCCTTAGTAGGTTTTTCAGTTGCAAGAGCCAAAGCACCTAATGTATCCATAATAAAATTGACCCATAATAATTGAACTGCTGTTAATGGAACTTCACCTGCTGAAACCGCTGCTACAAAATTGATAACAAGTGCAGCTACATTCACTGTTAATTGAAATTGAATGAATTTTTGGATGTTGTTGTAAACACATCTTCCCCAATTTAAAACTGTTACTATAGATGCAAAATTGTCATCTAATATAACAATATCTGAACTCTCTTTTGCAACTTCTGTACCTTGAATTCCCATTGAAAGTCCAATATCAGCTTCTTTCAATGCTGGTGCATCATTTGTACCGTCTCCTGTTACAGCAACTACATGCCCTTTTTCTTTTAAGCATTGAACCATCAGAAGTTTGTCAAATGAGATGATCTTGCCATCACACTGATTTTTTCAACTTTCTCTAACCTTTATTCGTGCGTGAAGTTGCGAAATTGTTCGCCTTCAACCACGGTTTCATCTGTGTCTTGATTAGGTTGAAGAATCCCACATTCAAATGCTATAGCTTTTGCAGTGAAAATATTGTCACCTGTTATTCAAGATAGAGTTAGTTAATAATTTGATAACTGAATTAAGCCGAGCCATTACAACCGTTCGATAAAACTGGACTAAACCGTGAATGGTTTGTCCAAAACCAAACTGTTATAAAGGTTTGGTGCAACAACATGTTATCAATAAATGAGAGATTTCTGAAATACCTGTAATCATTTTGACATTCACACCAGCATGTTGGCAAGCTTCCACCGCAGTCTTCACCCCAGGACGACACGGATCCTTAATACCAACAAGTCCTAACAATGTTAAACCATTGTCTTTTACCACTATCCCGCTGTTTTCTCGTTCATCTCCTAGCTCTTGAACATCAACTTCAGCATATGCGAAAGCGATGCAACGAAGACTACTAGCTGCCATACCTTGAATAATGCTTTCGAATTTCGACATGGTTTCATTGTCAAGATATTTCACAATGCCATAAGCATCATAGTATTTTGAGCACATTCTCAGTACCATCTCTGCTGCTCCTTTCCAGTGTGCATTAATTTTGTTGTCAACATTTCTTTTCAACAAAACTCCACTTCTTTTCTTCTTTGAGTTGAAAGTTTCAACTTGAAGAATAGAGCAACTTTTTGTCAAAGTTTCCATCTCCATATTCAATTCCAAAACAGCCCAAGATAATATTGCCTTTTCTGTTGGACTACCAGAAAATTCAAATTTTGAATCAGAAACTGATTTAGATTCATGAACTCCACCGGTTGTATTATGAGCAACTCCTTCTTTGATCAATTGAAGAACAAATGGATCAACATTTAAATATGCACCATCTTCCAGTGGTTCTAAACCAAGCCAAAATTTTGTCACCTTCATCTGATTCAAAGTGAGTGTACCTGTTACAAATCACACAAAATAGGTTTAGCTTTTCTTTAAGATGGTAGCCGAGAATCGATAACTATTTATTAACTAACTGTAAATAACTTCTATATTTCATAACAGTACCTGTTTTATCAGTGCAAATAGTAGTAGCAGATCCCATAGTCTCACATGCAGAAAGTTTTCTGACCATAGCTTGATCAACCATCATTTTCTTCATTGAATAAGCAAGAGTCAAAGTCACTGCTAATGGCAAACCCTCCGGGATAGCAACAACAACAATAGTAACAGCATCAGAAATTGTTTAAAGAAATGAACTCACCTTTTAAAGTGTCAAAAATAGTAAATTTCATCAGCTAGTAAATAATATAGAAACAGAGAGGAGCTTTTGTGGTGGTCTTCACATATGAAAAATTATCAAGAAAAAAATATTTACAAATAAAGTAAATAAAGTACATAATGTATGTCGAAACTTTTAGCATTTGTATGCTTGAAGTGTCAGCTTTGTCAGTATGGCTTCTTACCAAAAAGTCGAGTCAGACGCTAAAGTTTCCATAAGAATGATTAAGATCGAAAACTTGGCAAGTTGGTGTATACGCCTTCTTGGCTGAAGCCTACAGAAACTTCTTTCTAACTATTTCATTTTCTTCTAATCTTGTTTAAACGAGAAACCTAATCCTCCAAAATGAGCTCCACAATTTGGCTGCATGGTCAATATGGACCTACTCCAATTCTAACTCTACTGACCAAGATAACCTGAAAAAATAACCACAGTTACAGCAGATACCCTCACTAACTCTGGAGGGCTTTTATTCAAGTATTTTTCAGATAAGTAATCCAATGCATCTAAGACAATGACAAGAGAAGATGACTTTGCACAGTAAGCTAAATGAAATCTTATGTCAGCCACATACACAAATCCCTTGTGTACAAGACTTTTTTACTTTGCACCTACATCATCTAATTCACATGGTTATGTTTTCCAAGCCTCTGTATCCTCTTATGCTCACAAACTAGATAACACATAACAAGTGTTAGTGACAACGTGCAAAACTGTATGGATGTTTTTTCCACATGCTTTCTTCAAAATAGGAAATGCATGTATTAATTTTAATTTACATGCTGAACCACCTTCAAGTTTACTCACATCCTTAATATCATTTCTATCTCCACACATGGTTTTAAAAAATGGTTGTGGTCGCGTTAAGGCTTTCGCGATTTCGGTTGGTATCGGTGTCGCGACTCTGATTGCGGTTGTCTCAGTGTGAATTAACCATAACCATAATGTATAACATATAAAATTGTGAAAACGGTATCGGTATCGGCATTTTCCGAACCATTTTGTCACAGCTGTTTCGCATGGCAAACCATTTTTTAAAACCCTGGATCCACCTGAAATGTTGTAACAATAACCAATAAGAAAAACCACAGCCACAATAACAAGCCCAACAGATATCAGAGAGTTGTAAGATTTAGACTGAATATATTTTATAAATCAATCACATATAAATATACACAAAAAATGTAAATTGATTAGGCACAATATAGAATCAATGTATGGAACTTCAATTGCGTGCATATCCATTTTTAATCTCCAAATCAATGTGAGCCTAATTTACAAAGTATGATCAATTGAAAACCTGTGGGAAGTTAGGACTCTGAGGCCAAAAGTTGTTGTCTTGACTTAAGATTACCTTGTTGCATTCACCTTGGTGAACTGAACAGGTTGCTCTGCTTCACTTCAGAATTAACAAAAAGATGAGTGAAAGTGGTTTTATGGTTTCAATTGATTCTCGAGTTATGGGTTCAATCAACTTTAGGGTTTTATGGGATATTTGGGACTTTTGGTTCCAATTTCAATTGATTTTTGTTTTAGGGTTTTTGCTTTCGTGAATGGAATTTTGGTTTTATGGAGAGAAGAAGGTTTTTGAGCTCGATGGAGAGAACAACGAAGGTGGTTCAAATTAACACGTTGGGAAAGAAGATAGTTTATGAATTTTGGGAAAGAAAAAGGTGAGTTCGTACTATGGTTGAGATTGTAGGTTTTTTTTCTTTGAGCAGTTTTCGGTAACAGGAAGAAGAAATGAAGAAGATGAAGAAATGAACAAGTGAGGGCAAATTTCGTATTTAGGGATATTTAATTTAATTATAAAACAACCTACGAAAGCGCTTTTAAAAGCGCTTTCTAAGACCCATATATGAGAGCGTTTCTGAGGTAAAAAGCGCTTTCGTATGTCCCCCATATAAGAGCGCTTTAGAAAGCGCTTTCGTAGGTCCCCCTTTCAGAGCGCTTTTCAAAAGCGCTTTTATAGGGCCACCTATAAGAGCGCTTTTCAAAAGCGCTTTCGTAGGTTAGATATTTCAAATACCTATGAAAGCGCTTTCTGAAAAGCGCTTTCGTAGGAAACTCTATAAAAGCGCTTTTGTTAAACGAATTTTTTTTAAAGGCTACGAAAGCGCTTTCTCTTAAAATCGCTTTCGTAGATGCGCTGCCAAAAATTGTTTTTTTCGTAGTGCTAAGAGTAACTCTATCCAATTTTCTGTGTTGAGTAGATAAGATTTCACCTTCTATGTTTCATGACTAAGTGTCTATTCTTAAGCTTTAAGTAAAGCCATCAAGTGAAATTGGTGGTTTGTATTTTTTTCCAATGGAGCTCTTTCTTAATTTGTAAGTTTAATGTTAGTTGACAATGCATGTTCTTCTAAATTCGTCTAAGTTTAATGTTAGTGGACAATGCATGTTCTTCTAAATTCGTCTAGTCAAGACTAGATTAATTTGCCAACTCTTCTCACAATTTCTACAAGCCACTTGATTTAAAACTTAAACACGATAGGTAGAAGATGTTTCGAGAATGCTGGTATGAAATGGAGTTATGGATAGCAATTAAGACGATTAGGCAGTGTCATACTCATAAATACTTTTTAGAGCATTCACATCCATACTACTCATATTAATAGTATAAGTGGGTCCCATCTAATATAATATATTATTTTATATTTCTCAATTATTTAAACCACTTAATTATATTTTCTAAATATCCATACTACTTACTTAAAATTCTAACATGGGTCCCACAAAATTAATCCAACAGTAACATGTTATTTGAAAATTTAATCCAACAGCTATACAAGCTACGATCCCTTTTTTGGATACGGTGCCAATTAATACTACTATCATTTGTCTTCTATTATCAATACTACTCTGACTACAGTAGTCATAGACATAAGCCACAGCGATATTTATGCTCTTAGTATGATTTTGCAGATTTTTATATGAAAATAATTGTTATGAATGTATAGTATTTACTTTTTTTTCTATTGATACAGTAAATCTGTTGATATTAGAATCTTTCTAATAGGGTTGACTCATTACGTAAAAGATTTTTGTGTTGAAGGAGTAGGACGTAAGTTCACAGAAGTCACAGTGTCTCATTAAACATTCAACAATTCAATTCATACATGTCGTTATAAGACTAACAAAACAAAGAAACTAATACAAGCACAAAATCTATAAAGTTGTCTAGCATAACACATGTCCAGAAATTAGAAATAGTACAAAAAGTGTAAGTAAATATGGAGAGAAAACAAATCCCTAACGTAAAATCAGAATGTTTTTCAATTATTTCATTCTATCTTTATTTATTTCATGTTTGAATCATCATTTGCTTCACATGCAATGACTGATGTCAATTAATTGAACCTTTATACATAATCCGAGTTTGTTTCAGAATTTGGAATGTTTCCATAAGTAAAAATCCCTAGAATAAAATAAGAATATTTTTCATCCCTTATTTATTTTTTGTTTTTCATTCTACCCTTTTTTATTTTCTGTTTGAAAACCCATTCATCATTTGCTTCATATGCGATGACTTAGGTCCATTAATTGGTCTTGTTTACAGAACTCGAGCTAGTTTCAGAATTTGGAATGTTAGCATAAGTAACATCCTTAATAGTCCTTTCACCTGAGCTGATGTTTTGCCTTTCAATGTCTTCGGGAGGAGGATACTCGATAAGCTAGAACAACATAAAATGTTAATTAATTCAAGAAAAATGGATGACAGTAAAAATATCACTAACCAAATATTATAGCATATTCCAATAGAAAAATAAATAAATGAACATATATGTAATTAAAAGATTAAACAGTGGAATGAATACAGATACACGTTTAGCCTATAATCCAGTAACTTTAATAAGCTCAAAACTATCAAAACGGAAAGAATCCAACAAAATAAATAAAAATCTGGCAAACCACAAAATGAAAAGATCAAACATACCCTGCAAGCATATATTGTATTGTTAGAACAGATAGTAACAGAATCTCATCAAACACAACTAAAGAAACAACTAACAAACACTTGACCACAACAAACTCACATAACACATACATCAAAATCTTAATGAAAACAAGAATCAATAACGAAAATAAAAACTATGACTGACCTCAACTATTTAATCAAGGAAATTACAGTCGTTGAATATAAATACATAACTCTGACATAACACCAATCAGATTGCATCGTAGACATTTCTGCCAAATGAAAAACTTCATCTTTAATTGTCAGGATGAAACTGCATAATTTAAAACAAGATTTAGTACAAAGTAGAATATCACATAGGAATGAAATTAAATGAAATTTAGTATTTGTGGAATGAGATATAAAGAAATAGTACCAATACATAATTCAAATCAAACTCATTGCAGCGCAGTTGTGCCGTAGAAATTAAATCAAACTCATGAGTTGGTATTGGCAGTGGCAACTACCTACGTTAATTTAAAGCTAGGGTTTGTCTACCTAGGGTTTGAAATTATGTAATGATGGGTTTATTCATATCAACTGGGTTTGAATCTCTTTGGCCCAATAACAAAAATAGTTTTAAATTGAAGAAAAATGTACCTCTTTATTTGGACTACCTTAAACTCTTTTTAAACCAATAATTTAAGAAAAATGTATCTGTCACTCTTACAAAACTTAAAATTTCCAACTTTATCTTATTTACTAGTATTTATGTATTTCATCTTTATTTTGTCACGTTTCACTTTACAATCTTTTTCGTATTTTGGAAATTTATACCTCCACACAAGTTTTCTTATTTATAAAAGCGTTTTAATGAACATCATTTCTCGAATCAATTAAGTGCAACTATCCGATAAATTTAATTTCATTATACATTTTTTTAGACTAGTAGATTACCTTAAATCACGTAATTAATTATACA